GATAGCTGATGTCAGCTAACTGAGACATTTTGTCTCCCTCATTGTTTCATGCCTCTTCTGTAATGGATGCTCTCTGGAGGACATTAAGATAGAATATATATATATACACACACACATATATATCTTCACTCGTTATGCCCACTCCCATAAGTCTCCCATGTGCTTCTAGCTAAGGCTACCTTTTCCTTGATCTTTAATCCTTCCCCTTACCACCTAAGAATGCTTCCACACTATACATAATCTTGAGCCAGTTTTCTTTCCAAAGTGGATGATTAGGTTACTGTCTGAAGCTCTGGCCATTTGGGAAAGGATCTCTTCACTACTGTCTGTCAACACCACCCTGAGTGGGACTATCAAGTGGCCATGGTCAGACTTCAATGTGATCTGCCTATTGAGCCAACCCTTCTAGAAATCAGGCTCAGGTGTTCTCCTCCTCCATCAGCTAATCCTATGGACCATAGGTGTGTGCTAACCAGATGTCCTGGAGCAGTAGCAGTGAATGGCATGGGACACAGGGCCACTTGCTCAGATAGTTGACTTGTGCCCTTTATCCCTTCTCATGGTCAGTTGCTGCTTGGCCAACTTGCTCTTATGACTTGGCGGCTCTGATAGAACCCAGCTCATGGTGGACATTTCTGACTGCATGACCACTTCTTGACCCAGTCAAGTCTTCTGTCTCTACCAAGGTCCAGTAACATTCAAGAACCTATTTTCCAAATAGTGCATAATTCTCTTACCCCAGAGCCCTAAGAGTGTCACCTGTGAACTCCTGTTGGAAGTGTATAACCTTCACGGGGTGACATTTCCCAGCACAAACACCTCCAGTGCAGTAGAATGTATTGGGGCATATGGCTAAAGCGGCAGGGCCATTTGTATTGCATCCCGGACCTTCTGTGTAGCCCTTTCCTGTCCGAGGTGCTGCTCAGATCTGACAGCCTTTGATGTATATGTGCTGTCAAAGTGTCTCCAGGTATGGATTAAGTTGTCTTTAAAACCTGAAGAGGCCACCCAGGCTTTGGAGAAAGCCAGAGGCCTGCAGAATCATCCTCCACTGAGGGAATCAACAAGAATGTCCACCCGGGAAGAAGTAGGTTTGGTGGCTCATTGGTAAAGAATACGGCTGAAATGCAGGAGAAGCAGTTTGGTCCCTGGGTCGGGAAGATCCCCTGAAGAAGGAAATGACAACCTGCTCCAGTATTCTTGCCTGGAGAATCCCATGGACCGGGGAGCCTGGCAGGTACAGTTCATGGGGTTGCACAGAGTTGGACACGACTGAGCGACTCCAGGTTCGCACACCACCACAGATTTGCACACCCTGCTCATGCTAATAGAAGTTTGATTTGGAATAAGCCCCTGAGAATACTTTTCTTTGGCTATCACACTTTTTTTTTCTTTTTTTGGCTTATGTGTTTCAAGGATAGGATTGTTTGTCAGGTTATTTCTGTGTATTTAATATGTAAACATCTAATAATAGCAGGTGAATCACCGCTTTGATTTCCATTCTGTGGCACTGGAAGTACATGACTAAGGTTTCCTTTGTTTGAAATGTAGGTAAAATGAATGGACCCAGATGACTTAATGGGCAGTCCTGGGATTAAATGTTTATTCACATTAGAATAGCCTGTATATTTCACAAAAGCCTTGTGTGTAGCTTTTGCCTCTTCACAACTCTTCTCTGTTTGGGGACTATGTTTTTCTTCATCCTTCAAATCAGGACCAGGGGGAATGTTTACCCGTAATTATATAGCAAAATATAAATGTATTTTTAAAAAGTAGAATTTTTCAGTAGTCAAAACTGTGTAAATTACCAAGCACTTATTTTACATATTTGGGGGATTAAAGGGAAGACAGAATATTCTTGACTTCCCACCCCCCCATTCAGTTAATATTCCCCCATTGATTCTACTCTTCCAAGCCTTATAGCAGAGTTGGAGACTACAAAGATAAATAAGACATAGTCCCTGACACAAATGAGTTCAGCAAATAGTAACCAGAACATTAAAAAATAATGGTAGGAGTGTTGTCGTTGTTTTGCTTAAGTTGCTCAGTTGTGTCCGACTCTTCGCCACCCCATGGACTGTAGCCCACCAGGCTCCTCTGTCCAGGGAGTTCTCCAGGCCAGAATACTGGAGTGGGTTGCCATGCCCTCCTCCAGGGAATCATCCCAACCCAGGGATCGAACCCAGGTCTCCTGCACTGCAGCCGGATTCCCCCTCTGAGCCATCAGGGAAGCCAGCTGCCATCTCAGTAATTCAGTGTGCACTAAGAGCTTTGCATGACTAATCTTATTTAACCTTCACTATATCTACTGTCCTTTGCCCACCCCACCCCACACTTGTGCCCTGCTTTCTCTCACAACCAGTTTAGATCCCATGAAAGCATGGGATCTACCTCAATTCCCCGAGTTTCCTTCTCTCTTCTCAGCGCTCATCTAGTGAAACCCTGGTGCAGTTCTGCAGGCTGCCTGCTGCAAGAATACAGTATACAGCTGTATATGAGTAGAGGTATACCTCCTGGTCTCTCTTGGAATTTATGGCTGCTACCTGGGATGGGGGAGATCCTTAGTCCTGCCAGGGAATCATTCCGTATTTCTGTAGTCCCTTTATTCTCCTAAAAACTGATTTTATCCCAGCTCCTCACCCCTCTTAACTTTCAGTACCTTCTCTCCCAGACTGTCTTGGCTGATGGCAGAGAAAATAGACGCAGTCAGAAGAGAACTGCTATAAACTCCCTCCGTGAAATTTACCAGCTGCCCGTCTCTGTCCCAGTGTACCCTAACCCTCCGGTTACTGGTGGAGGAACAGTTTTTGCTCTTGAGTAAGGGCACGCCCTCCATCTGAACACTAGATGTCACCTGTGCTGTCCCATTTCTCTCTTATCGTGAAGTGACCCCTTCTTTCTGAATCAGCCCCACTGACATAATCCATGCTGGGCTATTTCCTTCATACTGGATTCCACTTACGCTACTAGTTACTGCTCTGTATCCCTGTCCCTGTTTCAAAATACCCCTTGAAAGTGTTGCTTATATTCGGGATTTCCCATTTACACTTTGATTTTTCTCTTGGAAATGCTCTAATCAGATTTTTTTTTTTTTAAAGAATAGTCTTGGTTCGTTTCTTTTTTTTTTTTTAATTTTATTTTGGGGGCTACATCAGGTCTCCGCTGTGGCTCACAGGATCTTCACTGTGGCTAGTGGGCTCTCCAGGTGTGGTGCTCACTCAGTATTTGCAGACTTAGTTGCCCTGCAACATGCGGGATCTTAGTTCCCAGACCAGGGATCGAATAGCATCCTCTGCATTGGAAAGTAGATTCTTAGCTACTGGACCACTAGGGAAATCCTTCCAATCAGATTTCATCCCCACAGCTTCGTTAAGACTGCTCTGACACCACACACACACACACACACACACTCATGCATACATAGTGGATGCACAGTAAATATTACCTGAGTAATTTACTACTTGCTCACACACACACACACACACACACACACACGTAAAACATTGGAAGATGGGTATGAAGATACTCATTCTATAGGTGCTCTGGACAAGGCCCTTGGTGATTTCATGCACTGACGAATTCTCAGCTCCCCATGGTGCTTGACCTTTCAACAGCACGTGAACACTTCTTCTTTGAAATAATTTTTATTTCTTGACCTTCACAGCACTGTATTCTCATGGTGTCCAGGCTGTCTCATTGACCTCTGTCCCTGCTGGTTTTTCTGTTAGCCTCAAGATGCTCACTTACCTCAGAGCTCCGTTTCTGCTCATGTCCTTGGCCAGCTCTTTCAGAATCGTTACTTTAAATAACACTCAGAGGTTAACTGCTCCCAAATTTGTATCTCTGGCCTAACTCTTCCCTTTGATTTCTGATTTTGAATATCTACCTGCCTGCTCCACACCTCACTTGGGTGTTGAATAGGAATGTCCACAAACATATTCCTGACTTTCCCTACAATCCCACTTCTCCTACAATTTCCCCTTCATTTTTCCAGTAGCTCAGTCCAATACATTTAGTATAATCTAATAGATGGGGAAACAGTGGAAACAGTGTCAGACTTTACTTTTTTGGGCTCCAAAATCACTGCAGATGGTGATTGCAGCCATGAAATTAAAAGACGCTTGCTCCTTCGAGGAAAGTTATGACCAACCTAGACAGCATATTAAAAAGCAGAGACGTTACTTTGCCAACAAAGGTCTGTCTAGTCAAGGCTATGGTTTTTCCAGTGGTCATGTATGGTTGTGAGAGTTGGACTATAAAGAAAGCTGAGCACCCAAGAATGGATGCTTTTGAACTGCGGTGTTGGAGAAGACTCTTGAGAGTCCCTTGGACTGCAAGGAGATCCAACCAGTCCATCCTAAAGGAGATCAGTCCTGGGTGTTCATTGGAAGGGCTGATGCTGAAGCTGAAACTCCGATACTTTGGCCACCTCATGCGAAGAGTTGACTCATTGGAAAAGATCCTGATGCTGGGAGGGATTGGGGGCAGGAGGAGAAGGTGATGACAGAGGATGAGATGACTGGATGGCATCACTGATTCGATGGGCATGAGTTTGAGTAAACTCTGGGAGTCTGTGATGGACAGGGAGGCCTGGCATGCTGCGATTCATGGGGTCTCAAAGAGTCGGACACGACTGAGCGACTGAACTGAACTGAACTTGATTCCTCTTTTTCTCATACCCCAATCAAATCCATCAGCAAATGTTATTGGCTTTACCTTGAACTATATCTAATACCTGACCATTTGTCACTGCTTCCACTGTTACCATTTATTGTAAGAGACCAGACCACCATCTCACCTGACCTTCTGTGACCCCTGATGTGGAAAATTCCAGCCTATCCTCAAGACACTGGAATGACTTTCACTTCCCCATCCCTATCTTATTCCCAGTGTACTTGCTACCATTTTAAACACTATGCTTTTTTTTAAAAAACACTATATAATTTTTTATTCTTGATTTATCCCTTCCCTAGAATGGATGCTTCATTAGGGCATTTTGCTTTTTTTTTTTTTTTCAGTTCAAACTCATTTCCCTTTTATTAAAGTCCAAGTTACATTACATGGTTTGGTACTCAACAAAGGAAAACTTGTTCGAATAAGGTAATATGTTATCATCAGTATTTCCAGGTGACTGTTTACAATCAAGTAGCATTATCAATAAGTCCTTGAGAAGCCCACCCATGGGGTTTACACTTTGTCGAGGCCCAGTTCCTCTGGAGTGGAGATTCCCAGTTCATTCAAAGTTGGTCTAAGTTCCTGGATGACATAGGGGTAGATTTCCTTATGAGGTCCTGCTTTGTCCTTAACAACCTCTAGGATGCGAACTGCACTAGCAAAATCATTTAAACGTCTGCATGCCCGCAAAGCAGCATCAATGATTTTGGGTTCTGGAACCAGGTCATAGCCAACAAGTGTGTTCATCCCTTTACGCAACTCCCAAGCATCAATATCTGGCTTATTGAAGTATGTCACCCAGCGAGCATCAAACTCCTCATCTGTCTCATGTGACCCATGGGAGTAGCAGCGAAGTGACTGGACAGCGGCGGCGGGACCGGGGGCCGGAGTTGGGTGCAGGAGGCCTCGAGGGCTGGCCCGGGCGACTGCGGCTGCAGCTACAGAGCAGCGGCGGACAGCGGCGCCTAGCATGACGGCGATGGCGGCGCACAGGTTAAGGCTGAAGAGAGCCATTTTGTCTATTTTATTCAAATATTTGTATGCCTAGTGCCTGGAGACCCATAATAGGTACTCAATAAATACTAGTTGAATGAATTAATACATCATCACAAAAATACTATGTGGTAGGTCATAAGATACTCATTTAGAGATGAGGTAACTAAGACTCAAAAGGTTGAAATAATCTGCTGAAGATCATAGAAATAGGAACTGGATGACTTGGAATATGGACTGAGGTTCCTCTATTTCCAAGTCCAGATCTTTAAGCAGTACAACTTCCTGGTTCCTAGTCTATAGTTTTCTTATGAACTCAGTATCAGTTTTTAAAGAAGAAATTCTTTAAATTAACATAAGGCTTTTGATCTTTTCTTACGCTTTGATGGCAACTCATTTCAAAGTCACAGCTCTCTAATCACTGTTCAGGTACCAGATCTATTTTATAGTCATTCCTTGGCCCATGTATTGCCTTGGATTTAGCAAAATGATTCCTCACCATCTTGAATTCAGTTGCTCTGAAATCTAGAATCAGGAAACCCTAAGAAGGCTCAGAGGAACAAAAATAGGTCTTCTTAAATGCCCTTTAAGGACATTTTAAGAACAGGACAGTCTAAGAACTAAGAACAGGAAAGCTCTTCTTCCATTTATTTACTCTTTCTTCATACACAATTTGAAATGTTTTTACATTCACTCACCTAAGAATTATTGAGCAATTTCTGTGGGCATGGCCCTATTTCACACACTCAGGACCCAGCAGTAAATAAAACACACACATTCCTTGCCCTCAGGGAGTTTACATTCTAGTGACAAGAAGGAAGATAATAATATATCATGTGATCAAAAGTACTGCGAAGATAAATAAAGCATAGACAGGGACTAACAGGTAGCACATGGTGTTCTCTTAAGGGTATAAAATAAACTCCCTGAGATCCAGGATATTATTATTATCTTTTTAAAAAATTTATTTATTTGGCTACATCAGGTCTTAGTTGTGGCACATGGGATCTCTTCATTGTGGCACACAGGCTCTCAGGTCGTGGTGTGGGCTCCAGAGAACACAGGCTCAGCAGTGGTGCTGGGTTTAGTACTCCACAGCACATGGGACCTTAGTTTCCGGACCAGGGATTGAACTGGTGTCCCCTGCCTTTCTCGGCAGACTCTTAACCACTGGGCCACCAGGGAATACTTATCATCATCAGTATTATATCATTCATATCTGTAGCACTAGATCCTAGGAAAATAAGTAGTATACACAGGATAAATGCTGAATATTGTGAGAATGAACGAATGCATAACCATGAAGAAGAGAGCCCAGTTAGAAGGTAACTGCAGTAGTTCAGGTGGTGGCTGGTGGTGCCTAAACACAGAGGGAAGCTTTGTAGATGGAGAGAAGAGCTCATAGTGTGTACATGTGTAATAAACCCAAGACTATTTCCAACCTTAAGGTTGGACGTGAACTGCAAATTGAATTGTACTGAGCAAGAGAAGTCAAGGTTTGGACAATGCCAATCAGGCTTTGGCCTGAGCAATAAGCATAAAGTAGCCTTGACTGAGGTGTGGAAATCTATGGATGTGGTAAGTTTGGTGTCCAAAATTAAGTCTCTTTGGGACCATAAATTAAGTCGCTCTGCATCTCCCTCTCATTCTCTCATAGTTTCCTGAGATACCTAAAGCCAAATACTGCTGTGTATCCAAGGAAAACCATTCAGAGTCATTCTACTGTGGAAAAGAGCAAAAATCCTCACTCTCTTGGCCAGACACAGAGGCATCTTGTGTTGATCGCTGCCTTTCTTCTTACTCCTTGAATAAGAAGGGCAAAGACAGCTTTTCCTTTCAAACTCATCTCAGACACTTGATTTTGATTTAAAAAAGAGAAACATGATTGAAGGGGATGAAAGAGGGGAAAAAATAGGGTTTGTTGTACATTTCTGCTCATGGCAACAGCTTGAACCGATTAGCTGGTTATTATGCATTCCTGTGCATGGCTTTTCACAGCAGTCTGATCCAGAGAAACATCTCAAGTCCTTTTCTGCATGGCTTCTTGCAGGCAAACCTGACCTCAAGGAAATTAACCAAGCCTTTTAATTTGAAAGAACAGATGCACCCAAAATCATCAAGTGATGAAAAATATGGTATAAATAAATCTATTTAGCAGAGAGTGTTCTGGATTCTAATGACGGTAACAGNATTTTAGGTTTAGGGAAAGCCTAAACCGGAGTATTCTGTACCCTCATTCTGTGGATGCTTTATGTAGCTTCTTTATTGCAAAGGAAGCCTTTAACTTAATGAAAAGATGTCCCAAAGTGTGGTTGGTGGCCTGCCTTATAGAAATGTGAATTCAAGTTCCCTTACACAGACCTAGTCATGCTCACTGATAATCTGCGGAATTTCTATGAGGAGGGGGCGGTTAGTATTCATAAGGAGGTGAAGTGATCATAAAAGACTTGAGAGGGCGGCTTTATGATTTTTGCACAGCACGCCATTGTTGTTATTCAAATGGTGAATGGTGTATTTGGGTGTGTCTTTTTTTTTTTTTTTCCTGGAGAGTTTAGAAAGCTCCCCCCATCTGACCACCCCTCAGCCCCCAGCCTGTTTCCTCCAAACATGCCTTCCTTGGCCGTTTAATTGAAGCACGTAGCAAAATAAGAATATATTCCAGCACCGAAAGGTCGTGTCTTTTGCTTCTAATAGCACACTTACCTTTGTCTCTCAGCCCTGCCTAAAGTAAACTCGGGATTGTGACCAGCACACATCGGACCGCTCACAAAAACCACGGCTGCGCAGTAACTCGCCGGGCTTTTGCCTTCTCACTACAGGTGTTTTCTGCTCCTTACTCACGAGCAGCGTTACTGCTGTTTCGTCGATTCTGAGAGCCAGACAGTGGGATTCCTTTAAGGCACATTATTTCGAGAATTATGTTTACAATACAGAGAACGGCTGATGGTAGCCGACACGGGGTCCCCTCGCAACCCTCCGAGAGTGAGGGTTACTTCGCATTTTTTGATCCCCATTTTCATGGTCTCGGGATAGCAGCGGCTGGCCAGGCTGCACGAAGTCGGCGCGGTTCTCGGCTTTCTAAGGGGATCGCGCCGGCTGTTTATACACTCGGTGACCAGCAGAGGCGGCGCCCGGCCTCCGTGGTAACAAAGGCGGCGGCTGCCGCATTCAGTCCGCAGGGTGGCGGAGGAGAGCGGGTGCCCGAAGAGAAGCCCGGAGCCGTCTCCCTTCTGAAACGAGGGTGGGGAAGGTGGGAAATCGGATCAGAGTCTGCTCGGAGGCGTGGGCTTGGCCCGCGGGGACGAGAGGGCGACGCTGGTGCTTCCCTGCCGACGCTGGGGACTGCAGTATCCCCGCCCCGAACAGTCCCTCGCGCCCCCTGGTGGCGGTGGAGCAGGCTGAGTCTGCTGCACTCGCAAGCCACCAGAAGGAAAAAAAAGGAAGAAAAAGTGGGTGAGGCAGATGCAAAGAGGAAAATCAATAGGGATAAGAGAGAAGAGGGAGGAGTCGCGGATCAGCCATTCTTGTCTTACGGGGTCCCAGCTGGTACCGCAAAAGGGGAAAAAAAAAAAAAAAGCCCGGGCGTGAACGCGAGTGAGGAGGGTGTGTGTGTGTGTGTATGTGTGTGTGGAGCCGGGGGGAGGTCGGGGGTGAAAAGGGGGACCAGGGAGATTTACTATTGTCTCTGGCAGCCGCCGCGGGAGACCGGGAGGGGGGCGGAGGCGAGAGGAGGCGGCGGCCGCGGCCAGCGCACCATTCGCTCCACCTGATCTCGGGGCGCTGTGCGCTGAGGAAGGCGCGGGCGAGCAGGAGCCGAAGGAGGAGGGAGGCAGGCAGCTGCTGCAGCCACCGCCGCCGCCACCATGTCCTACCAGGGCAAGAAGAACATCCCGCGCATCACGGTGAGTCGGACGCCACTCCGGCTCGCTCGCTCGCCGGCTCGCTCCCGGCTGCTCTGCAGGGCTTGGATCCCGCCGGCGTCCCCGGGCCAGTCCCCAGGGAGGGACCGGGACCCGGGGTCCGAGGGGGTGGAGAGCGGCGGTCAGTCCAGCCGGCGCGGCGGGGCGCCACCCAGACGGAGCGACCCTGGGGTTTGGGGAAAAAACCAAACAAAGAGGAAACCCAAACAGTGACAGTGGCGTGGAGAACTTTGGGTTATTTATCTTCCTTGCCCAACGCTCGGTAGTTCCCGAATAACAGGCCCTCAGTCGACCCCCGCGCCACCGGGGTCGTCCGTGTGAGTTGCCCCAGGTGATTTTTTTTGTAGAAGGTTCCTTTTTGGCGGGGTGGAGCATGGAGAAATGACACCTTTCCCCAGCGGTCTTGGGTAGCCCGACCGCGCCCCTCTCTGAGCTCCAGCCCCGTGGCTCTGATGGGGTGCCTGACCATCCGTCCTCACCTTGGCCACGGCTTGCTTGTATTAACCCCAGTTCATATCTCGGTGCGTCATACTCGGGACTGGACAGCTAACGTGGCTGTGGTGAAAATAACCAACTTTTTTTGGCTCTTGATGCATTTGCATTTTTCCCTGTAATTTCTCCCCTTCACCCCAAGAAAAGGCTGAGTTTTCAGAGCACATTTTAGGTTGCCGTGGCAGGCGCGTGCTGTGTGCACGCCGCGTCCAACTGCCATTGTGTGCGGAGCCGAGCCCTGCAGCCGGCGGGTGTCAGACGCGCTGGGCGAGGCCCTAGGGCGGGGTGGAGCGCGGATGTGCCGTTACCAGGTAGAGAAGCCTCATTTTCGCTGGCGCCCGGCGAGCAGCTCTCACGGCGAAAATACCGCGCCCGGGTCTGGGATTTCTCCAGAATGCGCTGAAATGACGCCCACCCCCACCCCTGGAAAGGACGCACAACAGGCTGGAATGGACAGTTTTTTTAAAAAGGGCAAGACAAAAGCAACAGAAAACCCACTGACATTTGTTAGTTGAGCGGTTGTGCTTTGTCTGTAGTGAATGAGTTGTGTGTGTGTGTGTGTGTGTGTGTGTGTGTGTGTGTGTGTGTAGTGTGTAGT